TCCTGACAATATGTCTGAAGTATGAGAGAAGAAATTTGGCCATGCTGGCCTCCAAGGAGCACTCTGGCTGCACTTCTTACAACACAGATATGTTGGCTCTTTTGGCAGCCCATGGCACTTTGAGGATTCTTCTTCAACACCATAAATCAGAAGCATCAATTCTTCTACAGTTTTCCTTATTCACTGTCCAGCTTTCACATTCATATGAGGTTATTGAAAATACCATGGCTTGGGTCAGGTGCATCTTAGTCCTCAAGCTGACATATTTCCTCTTCAACACTTTAAAAAGGTCTTATGCAGCAGATTTGCCTAATACAATACATCATCTGATTTTTTGGCTGCTGGTTCCATGAGTGTTGATAGTTGATCCAAGAAAAATGAAGTCCTTGACAACTTTAATCTTTTCTCCATTCAGAAGAATGTTTTTTATTGGTCCAGTGGTGAGGATTTTTGTTTTCTTTACATTGGGATGCAATCCATACCGAAGGCTGTGCTCTTTGATCTTCATCAGTAAATACTTTAAGTCCTCTTCACTTTCAGCAAGCAAGGTTGTATCATCTGCATATCGCAGGTTGTTAATGAGTCTTCCTCCAATTCTGATGCCCTGTTTTTCTTCATATAACCCATCTTCTTGGATTATTTGCTCAGCATACAGGTTGAATAAGTATTGTGAAAGAATACAACCCTGTCACACAGCTTTCTTAATTTTGAACCTTTCAGTGTTTCCATGTTCTGTTTGAACAACTGCCTCTTGGTCCGTGTACAGATTCCTCATGAGCACAATTAAGTGTTCTGGAATACTCATGCTTCACATTGTTGTCCATAACTTGTCATGATCCACACAAAGGCTTTTGTGTGGTCAATAAAGCACAGGTAAACATCCTTCTGATATTCTCTGCTTTCAGCCAAGATCCATCAGACATCTGCAATGTTATCCCTCATTCTACATCCTCTTCTGAATCCAGCTTGAACCTCTGAAAGTTCTCTGTCAGTGTATGCTTGCAGCCATTTCTGTATTACCTTTAGTAAAACTTTACTAGCATGGGATATCAAAGAGATTGTCCAATGGTTTCCTCATTCTGTTAGGTCACTTCTCTTTGGAATGGGCACAAATACAGATCTCGTCCAATCAGTCAGCCAGATAGCTGTCTTCCAAGTTTCTTGGCATAGAGAGTAAGGGCCTCCAGTGCCTCTTCACTTTCTTGAAAGATTTCAATTTTTATTCTATCAATTCCTGGAGCCTTGTTCTTGGCCAATTCCTTCTGTGTTAAACATAGCTGTCCTCAATCTGATACTTTAGTTATTTTAGCAGCTCTTAGATTTATTGTTGTTTTTAGGTGCCACAGAGTCAGTTTCAGCTCATAGCAATGCTATGCATAACACAACAAAACATTGCCTGGTCTTGTGCCATCTTCACAATTGTTTCTATGATTGAAACTATAGCTGCTGCCATTATGCCAGGTCATCCATATCTCTGGAGGTCTTCCTCTTTTTAGCTGACCCAGCACTTTACCAAGGATGATGTCCTTCTCCAGGGACTGGTCCCACCTGATTATGTGTGAAGTATGAGAGATGAAGTTTTATCATCAAGGCTTCTAAGAAGCATTCTGACCTTCTAACACAGATTTGTTAGTTCTTCTGGCAGTCCATGGTACTTTAAATATTCTTCTCCAACACTGTAACTCAAATCCATCTATTCTTCTACAGTTTTCCTTATTCAGCATCCAACTTTCACATGCACATGAGGCTGTTTGTTGATAATACCATGGCTTGGGTCAGGTGCATCTTAGTTCTCATACTCACATCCATGTTCCTGAACAGTTTGAAGAGATCCTGTGCAGTAGATATGCCTAGCGTAATATATTGTTTGATTTTGTGACTGCTGATCCCATGAATATTGGTAGTGGATCCAAGCTAAAGGAAGCCATTGGCAACTTCAGTCATTTCTCCATTTATCATAATATTATTTGTCCAGTTGTGAAGATTTTTGCTTTCTTTACATTGAGGTGCAACCCATACTGGAAGCTGTTGTTTTTGATTTTCATCAATAAGTATTTTACATCTTCTTCCTTTTAAGCATTTGTATCATTTGCATACATCAGGTTGTTAATGAGTCTTCCCCCAATCCTTATGGGATGCTCTTCATCATATAATCCAGCTTCTTGGGTTATATGTTCAGCATACAGATTGAATGAGTGTGATGAAATAATGCAACCATGGTGCACACCTTTCATGATTTTACACCAATAAGTGTGTCTCCTTGTTGTGTTCGAATGACTGCCTCTTGGTCTATATACATGTTTCTCATTAACACAATAAATATGAAATACCCATTCTTTGCTATGTTATCTATAGTTTGGCATGATCCACACAGTAGAAAGCCTTTGTATAGTCAATAAAGCACAAGTAAACATCTTTCTTGTATTTTCTACTCTCAGCCAAGACCTGACAGCAATGATATTCCTCATTCTGTGTCCTTGTTTAAATGTGGCTTGAACTTCTGGTTCTTTAGCAAAATTATACTTACATGTAATATTAATGATATTGTCTGATGATTTCTATATTCTATTTGGTTACTTCACTTTGGAATAGATCTAAATTTGGATCTTTTCCAATCAGTTGGCCAGGTATCTGTCTTCCAGATATCTTGCCATACATGAGTGAGTACTTTCCGTGCTACACCAGTTTGTTGAAAGATTTCAGTTTGTATTCCATCTATTCCCAGAGCCTCATTCTTTGCCAGTGCCTTCAGTGCACATTGGACTTCTTTTTTCAGTATCATTGACCTTGATCATATGATACCTCTTCAAAAAGGCAAATACCCGTCCATTTCATTTCACTAATGCCTATCATATTCTTAGATACATACTTCATACATTCCATGTTCCAGTTATTAATGGCAGTTTTCAGCTGTTTCTCCCCAATTTGATTTGTGTCCCATCAGCAAATGAAGGTCCCAGAGGCTTTACTTCATTCATGTCATTATGATCAACTCTACTTTGAGGAGGCAGCTCTTCTCCAGTTGTATTTTGAGTACCTTTCAACCTGAGGGGCTCATCTTCTGATACTATATCTGACAATCTTCTGCTGCTATTCACAATGTTTTTATTTTCCATTACTATGTATAGCAGTGTTTCGCTGCTATTCAAAGGGTTTTCAGTGGCTAAGCATTCAGAAGTAGTTCTCTTCTCTTTCTTCCTACATTCTTAGTCTGTAAGCTCCGCTGAAACCTGTACAGCATTCCAGTAATGCACAAGTCACCAAAGTACACAAAATGACAGAAAAGTGGTGGACAGAAATTAATGTATGTAAATCAGTAAACTCTCCTAGGGAAATACTATTTTAGTCAGTAATGTAAATCCATTACCTAACACCATAGTACTCAATATTAATATTGCCCATATTAAGTGCTCAATAAATCTTTTTTGACTGGCGCAATCAGTTCACTCTGGGCACTATATGTATTTGGAGTAGCATGTTTTTAAATAACAAAATTAAGGTACATTATTCCACTGTTAATTTTTAAATACATCAGTTTCTTGTATTTATTTTATGCCCAATAAATCTTCACTAGATGAGTTTATATAAAAATGATTGATAAGTCAATCAATTATTCAAGTTGTATACTAGTAAACATGACATGATTTTCAGATATACTCTTTAGTAAAATTTTAAAAAATAAATTAAAAATACTTTCTCTACATTACAATTAATGTTGAATATATTTGGCCTCTTCTAATTTGAAATGTTTGAAGAAACCAGAAAAGAGAAAATCGTTTTCAAATAAGTTACTCAAAAATTCTTATTTTTATTTATGTTTTAGTTTCTGAGGTTTACTTTAAGTATAAATTAAGGTAACTATTGTCACAATATGTCTCTGAATAACATATTACTATTCTAGAGTCCTGGTGTGGTGCTGTGGGTTAATGCACCAGACTGCAAAGCCATTTGAACTGCAAGGTTGGTGGTGCAAGCTCACCAGCTGCTCCTTGGAAACCCTATACAGGGTCACTATGGGTCAGAACCAACTGAATGGCACTTAACAACAACAACATTCTAGCGATAGTGGTGGTGGTTATGTGCCGTGGAGTCAGTTCCGACCCATAGCGACCCTGTACAGAGTTTGCAAGGCTGTAAATCCTTACAGGAGCAGAAAGCCTCATCTTTCTCCCTTGGAACACCTAGTAGTTTCGAACTGCTGATCTTGCAGTTCGCAGCCCTATTTGTAACCACTGTTCTAGCTATAGTAGTTGGAAAATAGGGCCTTAGTGATAAAAATGACACTGGAGATCGCATGATAGAATTCTGCAAAATCAATGATTGTCATTTCAAATACCTTCTTTAGACACTATAAGAGACATGGACCTCACCAAATGGAATACACAGAAATCAAATTGACCACATCTGTGGAAAGAGATGATGGAAAAGCTCCATATCATCAGCCAAAACAAGGCCTGGGGCAATTTGTGGAACAGACCATCAATTGCTCATATGCAAATTCAGACTGAAGCTGAAGAAAATGAAAACAAGTCCACAAGTGCCAAAATAAGACCTTGAATATATCCCACCTGAATTTAGAGATCATCTGAAGAACATATTTGATACATTACACACTAAAGACCAAAGACCAGAAGAGTTGTGGAATGACGTCAAGAATATCATACAGGAAGAAAACAAAAAGTCATTAAGAAGACAAGAAAGAAGGAAAATCAAAATGGATGTCAGAAGAGACACTGAAACTTGCTCTCCAGTGTGGAAATCTAAAGCAAATGAGGAGGTACAAGAGCTGAACAGAAAATGTAAAAGGTCAGCTCGAGAAGACAAAGTCAATATTACAATAAAATGTACAAAGATCTGGAGTCAGAAGACCAAAAGGGAAGAACACACAGCATTTCTCAAGCTGGGGAACTGAAGAAAAAATTCAAGCCTTGACTTTTGTTATTGAAGGATTCTCTGGACAAATTAGTGAATGATGTAGAAAGCATCAAAACAAGATGGAAGGAATACACAAAGTCACTGTACCAAAAGGAAATGGTTGATGTTCCACCATTTCAAGAGATAGCATATGATCAAGAGTCAGTGATATTGAAGGAAGAAGTCAAAGGTGCATTGAAGGCATTGGCAAAAAACAAAGCACCAGGAATTGATGGAATAAAAATTGAAATCTTTTAAGACTGTGAGGCGGCAGGGGAGGCACTCACTCATCACTCCAAGAAATTTGGAAGACAACTGTCTGTCCAACTGTTTGGAAGAGATTTGTATTTGTGCCCATTCCAAAGAGAGGTGACCCAACGGAATGCAGAAATCATTAGAAAATCTCTTTGATATCCCATGTGAGTAAAGTTTTACTATAGGTAATACAGAAATGGCTATAAGCATACATTGACAGAGAACTTCCAGAGGTTCAAGCTGGATTCAGAAGAAGTTGTGGAATGAGGGATATCATTGCTGATACCCGATGGATCTTGACTGAAAGCAGAGAATACCAGAAAGATGTTTATCTATGCTTTATTGACTATACAAAGGCTTTCGATTGTGTGGACCATGACAAGCTCGGGACAATGTTGCAACAGATCTGTGTTGGAAGAATTGCAGCCAGAGTGCTCCTTGGAGACCAGGACAGACAAACTTCATCCCTCATACTTTAGAGATATTTTCAGGAGGGGCCAGTCGTTGTAGAAGGATATCATGTTTGGTAAGGTGGAGGGTTAGAGAAAAAGGAAGACCCCCAGTGAGCTGAATTGGCAAAATGACAGCATCAATGGGCTCAAGTGTCACAACAATTGTGAGGTTGGCCCAGGACCTGACAGTGTTTTGTCCTGGTCGCTATGCGTTAGTACTGACTCAGTGGCACCTTACAACAGCAAAAAATTCTAACGATGGACTATGGATTAATGCCCTACACTGCAGTTTATTTGAGCTTTAAGATTGGCCATTCAAACTCACCAGCTGGTCCTCAGAATCCCAATGCATGGTTGCTATGGGTCGAAACTAACTCTACGGCACTTAACAACAACATTCTAACTATGGAGTCCTGGTGTGGCGCTGAGGCTTAATGTGAGGAACTGCAAAGTCCATTTCAATCTCAAATTTGGCTGCTCAATCTAAGCAGTCGCTCCTAGGAAACCCTATACAGGGTTGCTATGGGTCGGAACCAACTTGATGGCCCTTAACAACAACAATTTTAACTATACTTTTGTCCAAATTATATTTTTATCTTCTATAGCAGATGTTTGAACTGCAAGGTCAGTGAGTGGTTCAAGCTCACCAGCAGCTCCTCAAAAACCCTATACAGGGTCACTATGGGTCAGAACCGACTCAATGGCACTTAACAACAACAACTTATCAGATGTATTATTGTTGTTTGTTGTTAAGTGCTATTGAGTTGGTTCCAACTCATAGTAACCCTGATAAGGTTTCAGAGGAGTGGCTAGTGAGTTTAAACTGTTGACCCTGCAGTTAGCAGTCAGTGCTTATCCTACACAGTGCCACACCAGGGTTCCATTTAAGATGTAGATCTATCTCAAACTTAGAACTAAAAGACGGGTTATATCTGTCAAAGGTGACAGTAATTTATATTTACATAAGAAAAAAATGTTTAATTGATGCATATGAGCCATACAAGTTGGACTAACACAGTAGCTGCTCCAACTGTGGACTCGAACAGCAATGGTTGTAAGGATGGCATGTTGTTGTTGTTGTGAAGTGCTGTCAAGTCAGTTCTGACCCATAGTGACCCTGTATAGGGCTTTCGAGGAGCAGCTGGTGAGCTTGAACTGCTGACCTTGCAGTTCAAATGGCTTTGCAGTCTGGCACTTTAACCCACAGCGCCACACCAGGAGTCTAAGGATGGCATAGGACTGGATAGGTAGGATCTCTATAAGTCCAAATTGACTCAATATCACTTAATGACAAAATAAATGAAAAATTCCATCTCAAAATTAATTTGTAAACATTTCAAAGAAACCAAGGAATTTACAAAGAACAAAAAATATCAGATACATATTTTTTGTAAAATAAAGAGATTAATCAGAAATAACAGCATCTCTCTTATCTATTTAACAAAGTATTTAATTTCTCCCTCCCCTTCCTCTCTTTCTCTTTCTATCTTTCTTTCTGACACATACACAGAATTGTTCTTGTTAAGTGCGGTGGAGTCATTTCTGGCTCATAGCAATCCTTTACAGAGTTTCTGAGGTTTTGCTGAAGAGCTTGAACCTTGAGGTTCAAAGCAACCTTACAGGCCAGCGCATTAGCCACACACACATTACAACTCTAATGTATGTACAAAACTGACTGTTGTTTATACCCATAGCCTTAATATTAATGCTATTAGGATCAAACTAGATGAGATTAAGTATTTTTGAAGGCATCAGACCTGGGTTTGATGACCAAAAAATTGAAATAAAAATAATTTAAGTTTTCATTTGTCAAAAATTTTGTGCTGGTGAGAGTTACAACTTTCTTGGAAAATATAATTCAAGTTCCATAATACTTGGTAAATTAAAATTGTATTTAGAAACAGTATTAACAGTGAGGATAACCACGTGGCTATAAAGCGGAAACTAAACACAAGATGGGATAAACTTTCTAGGTGAAAATACAATGATTTCAAAGACATGTCAAATAAATTCTGTGTACCTCAAATTGTTTCTCCAAATTACATGTATGCCTGTATTTCCTTTCCCATTGCAGAAATGTTGGATCACAACATACAATAATTGTTACAGAAATATTTCTAACTAAGGGAAAATGTGTGAACATTTTGAGGTCATTCACAACATATCCTCTGAGAGAATATTATGTTCTTTGTTAAAATTCTAGATTTATTAAATAAATTACTATGTTTGTCACATGAAACAAGAGGATCTTAAAATTGATGACATTCCAATCTTATTGCTGGATGATATTATCACCAGTTAGCTCTCAAATTGACAGGAAGCTACAGTGTAGCACTTTAGTTGAAAGGAAAGGCAAAAATTCTAGTAAATATGAGTACATTAATAAGTATATAATTGCCCAGGACTATTCTAACCCTGATTAGAATACTTTCCAATTTTGACTGCCAGAACTAAAAGTTTAGAAAAAAATCACTTAAAAATGTTAAAAGGTTAAAAATATTTTTTTCCACTATGAAAGAAGGAAGAAGACTAAAAGGTGATTTGGTATTTTTAAATATTTGGAAAGTTTTAAATAACATTATCAACTCTTCTTTTTCAGACTGTAAACAGGATAAGAGACAATGTAATAGGAGACAATGTAATCTAGGCTATGTGGGAGAGGAAAATTACTTGAAAAATAAACTTGATCATAAGATATTTTGGAAAAATCATTCTCATATGACTTTAAAATCTTAGTTCTAAAATTTAGGCATAGACGTTTCTGGTCTAATCACTTTGTTTTTTAAAAGATGAAAATAAGATGAGTGATCAGATCAAAGTAACATAGTCTGTGTATTAAAACATGATTCCAACTGTCATATGAAAAGCCAGGCCTTCAAAGTTTCTTATTTTATGGATTGGTTTAAATGTAGTTTGATAATTTACAATGATTCCTGAAAGACCCTTCTAGCTTAAATTGCTCATGATTAGAATAGGTCTGTTCAGAATTTAGCTTTCCAATCTCACCCTATTGACAGTCATTGTGAAAAACTTTGTTTCACTTTCAAATGTCAAGATTCCGGAGAAGAGCTCAAATCCCAGTCTCAACTCTTGAGCACTTTATGTGTTGAGCTTTTGAACATAACTATTACTATTCTAGGCATTTTTTATGTACTGTCTCATTGAAATATTACAACTCTGATATATGAAGAAGCCAGTGGTAATTTTGGCCATGCTCAAAGAGCTTGAAAGTGAGTAAATTTTTCTGATTCCACATTCAGCTATTTTCCAGTATGCCACACTAACCATTACTGTAAAACTCTTGACAATAGATAGTACCCAACTGTGTAATCACAATTTTATTCCCAGAGCAGTTGTTCACATTTAAAGTACAATGATTGCTCTTTGTTGTTGAATATATTTATGTGAAGTATTTCTTACATTGTGGTGTTTATCTACTTTCTTTTTCCTTTCAGGCCTGTATGTGGAATCAGAGGGAAAACTCTCATAATTAACCTGCCAGGTAGCAAGAAAGGATCTCAGGTAAGCAAATTTATACAATTTGGTGTAACATTAGCCCTTTACAAAGTTGGAGCAGTCCACAAAACTGGTCTCACTTCTGACACCAATTGCAAATTTGTGAAGTTCTCAAAGCTACCCTCAAGGTTTTATAATTCACTTATTGTTGTTGTAGTTAAGTGTCATTTATTCCATTTCAACTCATAGCAACCCTGTGCACAACAGAACGAAATATTACCTAGTTCTGCACCATTCTCACAATTGTTGTTTTGTTTAAGCCTATTGTTGTTTCCACTGTGTCAATCTATCTCACTGGGAGTCTTCATCTTTTTTCACTGACCCTCCATTTTACCAAGTTTTATGTCCTTCTCCAGGGACAGGTCCCTCCTCGTAACATGTCTGAAGTATGAGAGCTGAAGTCTCACTATCCTTGCCACTAAGGAACATTCTGGTTGTGCTTTTTCCAAGACAGATTGGTTTGTTCTTCTGGCAGTCCATGGTACCCCTTATATTCTTCTACAACACCATAGTTCAAATGCATCAAGTTTTCTAGGGTCTTCCTTATTCATTGTCCAACTTTCACATGCATATGAAGCTATTGAAAATACCACGGTTTAGTCCTCAAACTGATACCTTTGCTCTCAAACACTTGAAAGAAGTCTTTTGAAGCAGATTTACAATACATTGTTTGATTTGATTATAGCTTCTATGAGTTTTGATTGTGGAGGCAAGTAAAATTAATGTAAGCTTTGATAACTTCAATTTTTTTCTCCATTTATCATGAAGTTATTTATTGGTATACTATAACTGTCCATTGTTGTTGTTATTAAGTGCCGTCAAGTCAGTTCCAATTCATAGTGACTCTGTATATAGTTTCCGAGGAGCAATTGGTGGGTTTGAATCACTGACATTGTGGTTAGCAGTTTAGTGCTTATCCTACAGTGGCACACCTGTCCATTGGATGTTGTGTATTGCTTCACTCAAAGAACAGAACTCACTGAAAGCTGTTATATTCATGGTTGTGGTTGATTACAGGGAGAGGAGATGGATTAAAATTAGCTACATCAAGAAGCACATTGGGCAGAGTCTAGGAGAAGCACCAAACACAGAACCTCCATTGTCCTCTCCTTGTGCAGTCATGGGCTCACTACTCTCCTAGTATCAATGTGTAGCAATATGCAAGAAATGTGGCCAACCAGAGTGTCCAGAGTTTTTATTGCCACTGAAACACACATTCCCCACATGGCTGATTTTTCGTTTCTGGCCCTCCCCAAGGTTGGGCTAATACCTATAGTCTTTCGTCCCTTCTAGAGATAGAACCGATATTGCATGACCCAACACTGCTATTATAAATCATGCTGTTAGATTGTCCCGTTGCCAAAGCCTCCAGACAAACAAAAACATTCCTATCAGGCCTGACAGTATGACGCCCTATCAATAACCTGCTAGTAACTGAGGACAAGGACCCAACCTTTATTTGTATATAGTTAATTCTTTGTCTCCTTTACTATGACCCAATCATATTCATTCATAGTTCTTTGCTACCATGATAATAAGACCTGACTCTTTTAGAAAAGCAATGTAATACAGAGATAAAAAAATAATTTTAGATTGTATTGTTAAATTAAGTCTTTATATCTGTGTTTGGAGTCCTGGTGTGGTGCTGTAGGATAAACATAAGGTTAGCGACTCAAATCCACCAGCTATGAGTTGGTGCCAACTCAGTAGCGCACAAACAACATCAAGCTGAGTGTGTGGTTGATTATCAAATAAAGTAAAAGGAAGTAATTTTAAAGGTAAAATGCAGTTTATACCATTTTTAGTGATCATTTACTTTTGGAAATGTACTTGAGAACGCATGCAATTGATTAGGAAGTCCTGTTTATTACTAACACTTCTAATTATAATGTTTATATTCAAAAGTATGCCTCAAAAAGTTTATGATTATTGGCATTTTAAATTTTCCTCTTAACTAATGGGATAAATGTAATTTTTTAGAAAGTTTATGGCATATTTTTAATTTCAGATTTTATTTTGTTGAAAAAACATAGATTACAAATTCAAAATGCAATCTATTCTTTCAGTGATGTTTTTGTTCAGAAAGTTCCAAATGAGAAAAAGATTCTAATTAATCCAAAATAAAAACCAATTTTTCTCAGTTTTTCTGTTGAGAAAACGCATAAAATGGAGGTGGTGTGCCATTGAGTCAGTTCTAACTTTAAGCAACCCTGCATAGGATTTCTGAAGCTGTAAATTTGTACTGGAGCACAAATTCTCATCTTTCTCCCATGGAGCAACTAGTAGACTCAAACTGCTGACCTTACATTTAGCAGCCCAGCTTGTAATCCACAACGCATGCTAACAAGGCTCCTTGAAATACATATATATATATTTATCTATCAGTGTCAGTCACAGAAATGAATTCTTAAAAATTTGTCAAATCATTTCCTAACATCTTCCCAGGAATTATATTAATATTGTATCATTAATTTCTTAATCCCCAAAACTATGTTATTTTGAACTCTGGAGAAGCAGGCATCTATTATTTTTTAGTTTGTTTTGTTTTAGATGATTGTTGTTGTTGTTGTTAAGTGCCGTTGAGTTGGTTCCGACCCATAGCGACCCTGTACAGGGTTTCCGAGGGTGTAAATCTTTACGGGAGTAGAAAGCCTCATCTTTCTCCCGCGGAGCGGCTGGTAGTTTCGAACCGCTGACCTTAAGGTTCGCAGCCTGATTCGTAACCACTACGCTACCAGAGCTCCTTTTTAGATGATTAGGCAGGAAAATAAATACAATTTTGAGTTATTCTTTTAAGAGAAACTTCAATGGAGCTGTTTGCTAGCACTGGTTTTATCTAATTTATGCTGTCATGAGTAATCTGTTTATTTTTCTAGGCCCCATAGAATGAGTTTATTTGACAGATATAATAGGGAAAGAAGATTCAAATTAAATAATTCAACTTCCTTCTCACTATAATGAAACTGGACCAGATATCACTTTATTTCATGTTTTTTACCAACTCAGTGGGAAAAAAAAGACCTAGTCTAATTCATTTCGTTATATAGGTATCGATTTAAATTTCCACATGGAAAGAGAACTTTTCTTTACTTTTTAAAAGTAGTTGTTTAATTTAAGAAATCAAATAAATGGACAACCAAAAATTGAATCTTAAAGTATGCATAGTAAAAGTTGCTCATTCTTCCATTGTATATTTTCTTGTCAATTCCTCTGGAAATCTCTTCTTAAGAGAATTCAAGGCATGAAGACCAATCATGTTGACTTTCAGGACATGTGAGCAAACAGGTTAAATGGATATTCTGTGAAGCCATACAAATCTCTCCTTGCCTGATTCTCACTCTTTTTCTTGTTAATGGAACTCCATGATCTTTATCATGCAGTCCTAATATGGTGCTGAGGGATAAAGTACTGGACCACAAGGTTGGCAGTTTAAACTTACCAGTGACTCCATGGAAGCTCTATACAGGGTCACGTAACAACAACAACAACAATGATCTTTATCAGCAGAACACTATTTTTAGAGCATAATCAAAATACACCAAGATCCCCAAACTGCACTGTCCTTTCTTCTACCTACTCTGCTTATGTCTAGACTCACTAATGCTAATGAGTAGTTAAGGAACTTTATGGGGCATATAGGAAGAATCTGGCTTAGTAGAGGAAAAAGAATTTTAAATAATTGGTAGCAGAAACTGAGTAAAATACCACATTTCTTAAAAAATAGGAAGACTTACCACTTGTAAGACAGACTATATTGATGTAGTTACAGTATTTCTCTAATTAATGATTTCTTACCACCTTCTAATCTACTGCCTAGATAGTTGAATACATATATATCACTCTAAAAGACTATCAATAATTTTTGTTTGGTAATTTTTATTTTACTCATTATTTGTCAAACAGAATTAAATATGTATTGCTTATTTTAAAATTTTTATTATTAAGAATTTTATCCACAAGTTAGGCAGAGTAATATAATGAATCTCCATGTTCTCCATATGTAATTCCAATAACAACAACTGATAATCAGTTTGACCTCGTCTATACATCTAGAATAGCAGAGAAATATTGTCAGATGCAGGACCGGAAGGTGGGAAGACACTCAATGCGACTGGGGGAAAAAATGCCTCCTCAAAGTAGAGTTGACCAAGATGATGTGGATAGAGTTAAGCTCGGGGGAGGAGAACGCACAGAACCTTTGTTTGCTGATGAGCCACAACTCAAGATGAAGAGAAACAGCTGTAAACATCCATTGAAAATCGGAACATGGAATGTGCGAAGTATGAATCTAGGAAAATTGGAAGTTGTCAAAAATGAAATGGAATGCATCAACATTGATATTGTAGGCATTAGTGATCTGAAATGGACTGGTATTGGCCATTTTGAATCTGACAACCACATGGTTTACTATGCAGGGAATGACAAATTGAAAAAGAATGGTGTTGTGTTCATCATCAAAAAGAATATATCCAGATCAGTCATGAGGTACAATGCTATAAGTGATAGGATAATATCTATGTGCCTACAGGGAAGCCCAGTTAATACCACTATTATTCAAATTTATGCACCAACCACTAAAGCCAGTGAAGATGAAATAGAATAATTCTACCAACTTCTTCAATCTGAAATTGATCAAATATGCAATCAAGATATATTGCTCATTATTGGTGATTGGAATGTAAAGGTTGGGAGCAAAGGGAAAGGACCAGTAGTTGGAAAATTTGGACATGGTGATAGAAATGATGCTGGAGAATGAATGATAAATTTCTGCAAGACAAATGTTTTGTTTATTTCAAATACCTTCTTTAGACAGCATAAGAGACAACTATACACATGGACCTCGCCAGATGGAACACATAGAAATCAAATTGACTACATCAGTGGAAAGAGAAGATGGAAAAGCTCCATATCAAGGCCAGGGGAAGATTATGGAACAGGCCATCAATTACTGATATGCAAATTCAAAGTGAGGCCAGGATGGCTAAGCTTCATCTCTCATACTTTGG